TGATCCAGACAAAAATGCTAGGCGTTTCTCAGCCCCTCCTCTACATTGACAATACAGGGCATAGAGTATAAATCTAGTCAGTGTTCTTCCACTAACTGTACATGAGGGGAAAATCCTTTTCCCCAATCTGGCTGTCAACTCTGTATTTTATGAAAAACCTTTTGATAGTTGTCAATATATAGAGCAAAAAATGACATTTCATTTGTATTTCCTCAATTACTAGTAAGGTTGAGCATATTTTCATTTCTTGATTAACCATATATATACATATGTATGATGACACACATACAGTACCAGGGTTGGCAAAAGTAGGTTTACAGATGTAAGTACGTGAAATATGGAGTTTATTTATTAATTAGTGTCTTACTGTTATTATTTTGTATCCCTACTTATGATTTATCTTTAAGATAATGATGGCTGGTAATTTAATCTACTTTTGCCCATCTCTGCGTATTTATACATCAGAGATACTGTACCAATCCTTTGTCTATCATATATTGCCAGTATATTCCTCAAAGGATATAGTTTGCCTTTTAACTTAGAACAAGCATTTTTCAACCCTTAAAAATAAAGTTGATAACATGCTGATTTATTTAAATAAAGTAGATATGATTAAATAAAGTTTATTCAAAATAAATATAATACATATAAGTTGCATTAAGAATACTGTCTAAAGCAACTGTTTCCATCTGGATAAACAGAAGACATCAGGCATTGTTTATTGTACTGGTCAATAATTCGAGGAACATTTGGCCTTTTCCATTTTTGAAGGTTTACTTGACTATAAGTCATGCTAAAATTCAAATTCATCTAAAGAGCATACATTTATTAAAACTGAAGGCCTTTTGTGTGTCTGTGTCTCTGTGTGGAACATCATTTATGCCAAGACAACTAAGACTTAGTAGATAAAGTCCTGGAGAAACATTTACTTACTTTCCCAAAAGGGGACTGAGTTCTTTTAAATCTTCCAATGACGGCTTTTGTTCCAGAAGTTTCTTAAACAGTGCCAGTGGGAAAGGAATATCCACAACATTTAAATGGTATAGGGAGAGTCCACACAGCATCCCAAAGAGGAAATATCTCTTCTTCTCAAATGTAGGCTAGAAATGAAGAAGAGAAAAAACACACACACCCAGCCATAATGTATTATAAATAATCAATAATCACTGGAAAATTAGATTAGCAAAAAATGTTTTTGGTTCCTTTTTCTAAGAATCACAAATTAGAAACAAAAGGGGCTTCAAGAAAATAAAAATTTGAGGTTCTTACTCTGGCTGTATTACAGTTCAAAATTCTTCCATAAGTTAAAATACAAGTTAAGAGTTCACAAGATTAAATAAATGAATGTACTTTTTGTTCGTAACAGCATATTCAGAATATTAAAAAATATGCTCAGGTAGCCTTATAAACTAAGGTTTTCAATATTTAATTTTACAGTCTTTGCCTTCAGATTCATGTAGTAAAACAACACTGTGGAAGAAAGGGTGAACTTTATCTACACTTTGAGCAGGCATCAGGCATGCCAGGTGTGTGTCAGACGAGTGGTGTCCCTTTGGCGGAATAACTCTCAACCACGGTGTCCTTACAGGGACCAGCATATGGGTCAGGGAAGGTGAGTGGAAGGAAGGAAAGCGTCCTGATGGCATTGGCTTCACTCTCCTCTCTGTACTGGCCACATCTTGCCAGACTATCACTACAGCCCAACCAAGAGATCACAAACCTGCTAATCTTTTAAGATTTCTATTCCAGCAACAGCCTTGCTGTTAGTAGCTGCATGACTCTGGGCCACCATCTACTTGTCCAATTTCTTCTTAGAGTAATTGTGAGGATAAATGTTAAAATGTCTTTGATTTTTGAAAATGAGTTAAAAATACAAGTATGCTCCAAAGGGGGCTTCCTCTAACCTATTCAGTTTTTATTTCCTGTATCTGTAATGGGTCCCCTTGTCCTAGCTGATTTAGTCTCTTCACTGAGCCATACATGAATCAGACTTTTGTTTGTTTTCTATCCAGCAGTATAACACAATGCTTAAGAGAAAGGGACTGGGAC